GATGAAAAGGTGCTAAGCTTTCGTCCATCATGTAAAAGAACATCATCCGACCAAGCTATCATCGTCACAACCAAATTCAAGCTAACAAGTTGAGAAAACGTGAAAGAGATTGCCTCTCAAACAGCGTCAGCATGAAGCTTCCAGTAAAGCCAATCGACAGCTGTTCAAGAGCAATCCCCAGTCGTCTTCTGGTGGACGCGACATTCGAATCTCTTTACGCAACACTTCCACTCGAAATGGAATTAAGCTCAACAATTATGAAACAAAAGATTCCTCGAAACCCATCTTTTCTTCGCAAATAATGTATTTCCTATGCTGAGCTTGAATTTGGACAAACTTCGTGTATACATGCAATGATGGCCCACCACATGTTGAAGATATTTCAACAGCAAAGTGTGTTATAGGCCAGGAGGCATAGAACATGACATCAGAAGCCCACTAACACGAGAGGATGTTGAGCCGCCATCCAAAAGAAGACGACTCAACTTGTCTGCTCGGCGATGGTTCTAACTTCACCCACACTCGTCCACGAAACCATACGCACCAGATTACGAAGCGCCCAGTTAATGTCCATAGATTGAGAGGTTAGGACAAGTGGTTTCGTAACTTGACTTGCATGCTTACAAGCTCATATCTCCTTATTGCAACCATACTTGTTCACGGACTGACGCAGTCACGGTCGAAGCTTTCTCTTGTCTATCTCTATGCAAATACACAGCATCTTTTATTAAAAAAAATATATATTTGCAAATATAAATCAACTATTTATAGTAAGCTCAAGAATAAACCAAACGACTAATAGATAGGCATGTTTTTCTTTACAAAATTGAGCTATATGCTTTTTTTGACTTTATTTTTTCAATGGAATTTATTACTATTTATTCCATGTTTATTTAATCAAACTCTCTTTAGTTTTGCTATTCCTTTGCCTTCAATAAATCTTTCTATCTTGATCTTGTTCCATAAAATTCATAGTGGCCATGTATCTAGCCTTGGCCACAACTTCGCTGGTGATGATTTAACTGTCGTTCTGACGACAGATTCATCATCTGGAGATTCGGCGACTTCGCTTTGTAATGACAGAGAATCTGGCAATTGCTACCAGGTCTTGATGTTCAGAGCCTGACGAGGGAAGAGGTTTCGTGGAATACGTCAACCCGAAGGTCGTATAAAAGCCAAACGGCTGCAGTACAACAGGATTTATCCGTCCGCTTTCGGTTTGATAAACCTACGCATATCTTCTTCACATACTTCATACAAAAATCAAAGTCCCCCCAAAGATGGTATCTCAGGAGCTTCATCGAAAGTCAGTTTTCTCTTCGTATGTACCTTTCATCTCGTTTGAAGAGGCGATTGGAAGCGATTCGTAAGTTCACCTCATCGCAGGCTGTAGGGGCTCCAAAGTAATCCTCCTACGATTTCCGGTGAGGCTAACTTACGAGTCCCTTCCACTCGCCTCTTCATACGAAATTAAAGGCAGTCGAACATACATTTTTTAAAGTGCGCTTCCAAAACGACTTTTCTACACACTTGGCCATAACTCCTCGCGTCAATTAGCTTCAAATCGGCCCACTGCGTTCACCTTTTTTTCTTTATTTCCATTACACACTTCAATTAAACTGAGCCCATTCATACTTTTGCATGGAGTTCTCGCGAGCTAGGGACGGAATGGCGGGACTGGAGATGGTGCTACTCACTGAGATAACAGTAGTAGGTGGTACTTTTAGTAGAATCTTCCTTTGGTTCACGAGGTATGCATCCGGCGGCCTCAATTGCTGGCCAATCAGATGAGGCGAGGCACTTGTCATTGACTGGCTGGTGGTTCATGGATGCTGAAAGTTCAACAACGTTGGACGAATGGGGAGGCTGAATGCTGTCAACGAAGATGAAATCTTGCTCGGTGAGATGGGCTTCGTTGGAAGCTGATTTGAGAAGTCTTCAGGGAAGGAGTGCAACTCGAGCGTCTAATGGCTACCCCAGCGGAAGCTTGAAGATGGTCAAAAACCGACTTTTTTGCAACCCACTTACGTCAACTCAAGACGTTGATTTGAGACAGCGTAGCTCAAAGTCTCCCGTCGAGGAGTACCGATTTCATAGCTCAAGTGGCCCTAGGCTGCAAAAGATGACGAGTGACTGATAATTTCATTTTTCGCAATGCTATGATATGGCAAAACTTCAATAGTATCCTTCGTCACCGTACACGACTTGGGGTGACTTGAACTTTTTATTTAATATTTTCTCATAGTTTTACACACAAGTCAATCAGAATAGCAATTAAACTGGTTTTTTTTGTTGGGAAGAATGCGAGTCTCTCTGAGACGGATTGAAGAGTTGAATGTCGTGTTTCTCAAAACACCGTTCTCCCTCAGCCCGAATTCCGGTTGCTGCATCGTCTACTCAGAGCCCTTTAACGAGACTCGAGCCGTGAACCGGCTGGTGGAAAGGCAAATTGTTTATCCCTTAGCCACACGAGTTCAGCTGGACATCATTATGTGGAAAATTTGGTATAAAACTGGATACACTACTGAGTTATCTTGACTTTGTGACTGCTTCGAAGCATTCAGGAGGCAGATTGCTATTGAGGATACAGGTTACTATCGGTCTTCTGTGTGAATCTCAGAGAGTCATTGTAAAAGTAAAGCATTATTTTTAATTAATCGTGATCTTTCTTGTTAAGAAACTAAGAGGAGGTCGGTCGAAACTGATACAAATCGCCAAAAATCAGCTTAATGGAATTATCGGAGCAACGGCTCTAACAAACTTGGTTAGCTGCTAGCCGGAGGCATAATAATAAAGCTGAGGAACTAAGGAATTAGAATCAGATCAAGGAATATTGTGCTTACGGCAACTCGTGAAAATGATGTAATTCACAAATTTGGTAGGGATAAAGTAATTAGTCTATCAAGTATAACTCTGTAAGATAGTGTCGAATCAAAACGGGAAATAGGATTGCATTTTGCGCTAGCAAAATGAGTCGGTTGTCGTGACTACCAAAAGACCACTTTTATGAGGTGTTTTCGCCCTATTCCGTTTAAGGTGACAACAGGACTGGTAGTCGAACTGTCGTCCACCCCGGTTGGGAATAAATTTTGGGTAACGTTAAAATCGTTTGGAAGGTAAGGTCTACTCGTGAAATTATGGGAAAGATTAACCGCTAGTCAACTAATCAGCTTAAATGAGATGGAGTGAATAAACCGCATGTGTCGCATGGGTTGCTTGAGGAGGTGAAGAATAGTGTTGCTCATGTTGACCAAATGGTGGCAGCAAAGCAATCTTGTGTTGTCAATACGGTTTCTGGTTAGTTAAGCCGCAATAGTCGAAGTGTTATGAGAGCCGGAAAGGGTGGAGCAGTGGGAGTCATGGATAGACTAAGTAATGTAGAAAAAATGCTAGTTTATTTCAACACTACTGACGCGTATATGATATGCTTTTAATGAGATATTTGATGGGAAGACTTAAGACGAAGACGTGGGATGTCCGTAGGGTATGCGGTGGCAAGAGTGAAATGGAAAAAAGTGAAAAATGAAATCACCACTCCAGAGGGAGGCAGCAGCCCCCCTTTACGATTAATTGTAAATAAT